TGGGAATAACAATTAGTCTTGGATAATTGGACCCATCAATATTCATTGCATTGGTTAGGTGGACCAAAAGTACTAGCGGTTCCATCATTTGCATATTCGATTAGTGATCACCCTTGTTTTTATTTTCTTTTTCCAGTTTTATTTTCAATAGTTCTTGTTTCCTAAAATCTGAATTTTGATTGTCCAAATAATTAGGGAAGACTGTGATTCTAATACTTATTTTGTTAAATCCCCGTGGGAACGATATTATTATACTACTTGATAACTAGTGCATTTGCTAGAGTTATATATTCATAGCTATCACAGGATATGAGTGGCAGTTCGGCGACTTCGCCGACGCCTTCGTTGTTGAGTGGGCCTGGTACTGGCGCTGCTGGCCTCTATGTTGTCGAGCTCGATGGGCCCGGAGTGCTGGTAGTCTGCTGCCAGGGCGCTGAATCGGTTCTCCGTGAGCGGGAACTCGGGCCTGGAGCACCGAGGTGCTGACCTTGCGGGCGAGGTTCCTGACCCGCCTGCGAGCTGCGAGGCGGGGGTGATTTTTCTCTCTCTTCGGCCTGGGGACGAGGCCTGGCTGTTAGGGGGGTTCTAGGGCCGAGAGGCTTTTCCCTGGTGGGGGCGTCCATCCTGTGGGGAGGCCTTAACCGGCTTCGGAGCAGGGTGCCGAGGTGGAAGTAGTTGTTAGTTCAGAGGCAGTTGGGGGAACTGCTGCTGATAGTGATACTGGGAGATGTTGTGCAGTACTTGGTGCTGTTGGAGCTAGTGTTGCTGGAATTGTTGCATTTGGGCTTGCATTGCCCGCATGCATTGCATCAGGTCGTCCAACTGGTTCTGGCTGGTTGCTAGGGGGATGGCAGTTGGTTCAGTAAAGGTTGTCTCGATAGGGAGAGGAAAGGGGATGCTCATGGCAGGAAGGTTTACGGGCGCCACTGCTTGTGGCACATTCAAGTTGGGGATCCCATCCACCGAAAGGGGGATGGTGAACTGTCCGACGCACACCACGGGGACTTGAAGTTGTTCCTCGGTGGTGTTTGTCTCCGTGCCACGTCCGGCGTTGCTGGAAGAAGCCATGAGTGTTGGGTATTTTGGAGAAAAGAGGTTATGAGAGTTTAGAGGGAGGCTTTTAGAAGTGATTTCCCACAGACAACGCCAATTGATGTTGTGCAATCCGGCTGGTCCTAGCTGTCAACGACCTTGCCTTTGAACGGAGCTACAGGGAGCCTGAAACAGAGAAGATGAAGAAGCTCTGGGGGGAACCCGGTATGAATGCTCCGAAGCTCAAGTTAGAATTCTTTCAAAGGCAAGATAAAACCAGATGGCGCAAAGTTGACATACCTTGTTCTTGGGGGGTAGGGAGCCTTTTATAACCACCTCATGCACTCACTCCTAAGCTTCTGTCAGGTCGGGTATGATTACCTTGGGCTCCTGCCAGTTCGGATATCATCCCCTCTACTGGACAGAACCGCCACTGCTCCCTTTTGTCGGAGCTGTCTTTGCGATTGGCGATGACGGTGGCAGGTGGCGGTGGCAGGTGAACGTTGAAGTGCGGCTGTCAAGCGTCAGATCCCAAGTCAGTCAGGTGCGCTGCCCTTGGATATGGACCTCCTCGGTGTCAGGTATGGTACGTTTGTTCAGTTCAGCGTCCTGGAGGTGAAGTGCTAGAGTGGCGAGTGAGGTGAAGTCTTGAGTTCGGATAGGGGAGTGTCTCGAACTGCCATGAGGCGGGCCAGTTCGGGTCATTGCCTTGTGTGGCTCGGGGCCTAAGGGAGAGTTCGGGCTCCTCGTAGGGAGTTTCGGGCTCCTAGTAGGGAATTCGGACTGCTGGTTTCCTCCCTTGATGCTTGTGCCCTGGGCGCGCTGTAGTGTCGAGCTGTTTGCCTTTGCCACGTGTTGAGTGATTACGAGGTCGGACCAAATCTTCCTTCATCAGTATTTATTTCAAAGAGGATAATATAGATAATTTGAAAATTATGTAATGAATCTAGATGGGTCAGAGCCTTTTTTTTCTTGTTGATATCGGCCAGAAACATAAAAAGTACTTACTGAAAAGTGCTTAAAAATAAGCTGAAAACTTTTACTTCTTCAAAATGGACTTATTTTCTGAAATAAGCATTTATTCAACTTTTTTTCAAACTCAATAAATGCTTAATAGTACGGTCCCGGCCTACAATAAATTCATTTCAAAAGCCTAAAACTGTAAAATCCATTCCAAAATCTCCTATACGATTTGTCGCAATTGATCGTACGAACCAAAACCATATTAATAAATACAAATACATTCCAACCAATTTCTAAAAAATATAAATTTGTATTTAAATTCGAACTAGCAACTAATCCGTTGTTCCGTTGTTGAAGTTTAGGTTACGTTACTTACCAGAAAAATGTAGTTGGAATTAGTTGTACATAATTACATTCTGCAGCTGCGTGGGCGCTGTCGTATCTGTGTCAAGCGACCAATCCACGTGTATTTTATTCTTTTATGTACAGAAGAAGAAAAGAATTTCAGAAGTTTATAAAAGGCTCCATTAGGTATTTCTTTAATTGTATTTACATAGATCACTCAGCCTAAAATAATGTGATAGAAAAAATAATAAAAACCAAAAAGATAAGAAAAATTATAACAAAAGATTTTAAGGAGACACGTAGATCAACCCTCAAATCTAAGAGAAACAACGGGTTGGGTCAGCCTTGGGATCCAAGAAATCATATGTTGCTGCTTCTAGAAGTTACAAGAAGGTAGGCACACCGCACACCCGTGAAGATTTGAAATCCTCTCCATACTCGAATCCACACGGTGATGATAACAAAGGATGAGTTAGGAGTTGGGAATCGTGTTTCCCTGGCCTTCCCCGTCAAAAGCTTCCAGAGTCTCTTGACTAATGGAATAAAAAATCTCTAGTAGAATTGGAAAGGGAGATGGACATGGATGATAACGACTGAAAAAGATGTATTTGACATACCGGGCCCACAAATTTTGGGCCGAGCATCATAATTGGATTTCAGGATTTGGACCCAACTTGGATCACCCAGTTAGAGAATTCCCGGTAAACATGTAAAATCTTAAAATTTATAAGAGGAAAGATAGAAAAACTTTTAAAACTTTTTTTTCCCTTTTTAGTATTTTTGTCAATTTGTACATACTGGATTAACTGTCATTTGGGGGCCTTTGGGTCTGGAATAATATCAAGTTTAAAATAAAGCCACAAGGCCCACAACAGCTTAAACATGATAACCCGTTTATCTAGAATCTTCGGGTAAAATTTTCAAATTGGCTAAGAATACCAATACCCAAGTAAATGCTCGTCCATAGAATAGAATGTGCCTTCATCTTATTTCTTCTTCCGGTCTTCCCGTATGTTCTTGACATCCCTGTTTCTGGGTGGGTGCTATTGTCTATACACGCTCCTCCAGTGGGTCAATCATGTACTCTTTAATGTCAAATTTAATTTATACAAAAAAAAACCAAGAAAGAAAAACAAATCCACATTTATAATATAAAATATATCTCTATTAACTGTTTTAATTAAAATGTAAAAAATAGCATGCATGAAATTCATAATTCATAGAATTTGATGATGACCAAAAACAATTAGCAGGTCAAAACTCTTACACATCCCCAATACAGCAGCAATGTATTGGCTTGCTTAGTATATCTGTTCCACTTCTGTTTCTTTGGTGAGAGCATATATATTTGTTCAACTTGAACTTGAGGAGCTCAAATTACCATATAACCCATATATCTCTCTTTAAGCAAAATTAAAGAGGAGGGCAGTTTCGTCATCTCCAACAAATAATCGATTCCTGCAGCCTGCTAAATTCGAAACTTGTTCCGAGGTCCAATTCCAAACACAAAAACTTTTTAACTTTTAAGCCGCCCATGTACTACTCCATATAGTCCATGCATACCCCGTCTATATAAACGATAACCTCAGGGCCACCTCTCCAACAATCCTACCAAAAAGAGAAATCAAAACCACTCCTTCAATAAATCCTTCTCTCCAACCCTTGAACAAATTTCAATTCCAAATCATAATTTGCAGCTACTCCGATCTCTTCAATGGAACGAAGCAACTCGTTTGGGACTTCGTGGGCGGACCAGTGGGACTACAGCAATCCGGACCCGATCCCTGAGCAGAAGAAGAGCGGAGATGCAACCGCCAAATACAAAAAGAAGGTGGGAGAAGGCTTCGAGAAGACCAAATCCGTGGCTTCAGCAGGATTCAAGAAAGTGAAGGAAGGTACTTCTGTAGGTCTCAAATGGATCAAAGACAAGTACCAGAAGAGAACCCAGAAGTGTTAATCCATGGAGCTGGAGATCCTTCTTACGTACCATATCTTCTCTACCAATGGTGTCCAGTTTTCTTTCTTTTTTTTTCTTTACGGTTTGGCTTTATTTTATTTCACTTTTTTTTTTCCTTCAATTCTCTCAATTGGGAGATGAGTTACTACTGTTGTTCCATTGAGATTCGATATTGTTTCATCACTTCATGTACATCTCTTTTGATAATGTAAAAAGGAGGACGATACATATTGTTACATCATACATGGTCTTTTTAGAAAATTTGATGATACCCCTCTTTCTCTTTCTCAATAATTGTTTGTCTTCTTGATTGAATCATGAATTTAGAAGGGTTAGATGTCTCTGTTATAACAGCTCGATGGACTCGTCTGGGTAGCCCATGTCGAAGTGGGAAACACATCATCGATCGTCATCTGGTCACGCCTGTGAGATAGTCAGATATAACATAAAACATAAATAAGGATTCCAGCACATCAAATCAGAGGGTGCCATCTGATCCTGCACATTCATCCCTGCAGATCTTTCTTTCTGTACATCAAATCAGAGGGTGCCATGTCACCATCCTCTCATGCGTGATTTTCACATGTGCCAGTGGAATTAATAGACGTTTTAAACATCCTCCACTCCTCTTACCCCGTTTTTAATATATTGAAATTTATATTAAATTTTAAAACAAATAAAAAACAGGGGTTAAGGTTTTTTCTTCCTTTTTGTTAAATAAAAAAAGGTTTTTACCGTTTAGTCCACCTCTGAAATCATAACTCTATCGTACAATTGGGGGTATGTGTCAATTCGGTATTGATGCCAACTCATAGGCAAATATAAATGTTATAGGTGGAAATATTCATAAATTTGAATTATTGTTGGTCTGCAGATTAAATCTGAATTCCAAGATGGAGTGCAGTCTAAAAATCCCAATAATAAAAGGGTTTGCTCTCCAAGGAGCTGAATATTAGTAAGCAGAAAAAACAACGAATAAGATTTTCAACTTTTGAAATTCCCTGACCAACTACAGAACCACTGGTTCCTTGATCTATCATACAACAATTTCTCTGGTCCAATTCTGGCTTCCATAACAAATCTGCCCATCTAGAACTTTTGGGCCTAGGAGGTAATAAATTGACAAGAAGCATTCCCGCCTCACTTTGAATATCACAAAATCCCTTCATTTCGGCCTTTCACAAAACTAGCTTTCTGGTAAGATTCCTAAATCGCTTAGCGACTTCAATGCAGAAGCAATCTATCTTAGTAAGAACAAGTTTATACGAGATGTGTCGGCGTTGTTCAAAACAAACAGAACGTTGTTGTGACTAGACTTGTAATGGAATGAGTTTGACTTTAATCTAGCTTTCCAGGGTGAAGCTTCCCAAGAGCCTATAATATTTGGACTTATCCCATAACAGGACTAGAGGGAGTATCACTAGGCGTGAAAAAAAAAAAACCGAAAATTTAAACAGGACCAAATAATTGATTAATCGAATCGGTCGGTTTGGTTTTGGTTCGATATTCTTAAAAAACCAATAGTTTTGTTTCGGTTAATCATTTAAAAAAACGGCGGTTAATCAAGTCAACTGATATATATATATATATATATATATATATATATATTATTTTTTTGAAAATCGAATAAACACTTTCGGTAGTTTGAGAGACTTTTAGACTTTCTCTTTGAAAGTTTCAAAGAGAAAGAGAAAGTTTTTGTCTTTGCCAGAGTGCCAGACCGGAGATTGTCAGTCTCTCAGTCTCGAAAATCGAAAAATTTCAAGCCATTAGCCCTTTCTTCTCTTTTGTCTCGGTGGTTTTCCTTCCACTAGCTTCTTCGAATCACACTCTCAGTCTGTCACAGTCTCACTCTCTCAGACTCTTAGTTATTTCTTCCCCAACGGGCCGACGGCCTTCGGTGCTCCGCCCTCCGACCGAATCACCAACGGCCCCTGATGATTGAGTCACTGACGTTCGACGCTTCGACCAGGCAACCAACTATGTCTATCTCACCTCACTCTCTATTTTGTGTTCTCTCTCTCATACTCTTCTTCTTCTTCCCCAACGGGCCAGACCTATCAACGGGCGAGCCTTCGACCGACATCCGACGTCTCCTCTCAGATTCAGCCTTCACTCAGACCGGCATCTAGCGTCTCCTCTCAAATCTGAAATCTCAATCTCTCATCTCTCAGTCTCTCTCTCTCATTCAACACTCACTCGGCACTTAGATTCACTGATCTCTCTCAATCTCTTCTCTCTCAGCCTCAGCCACTCATCTCTCTCACTCCCAGTCAAGGTTTTTCCCTTTTTTTTGTAATATTGAGGGCATAAAAAAACCAAAAAATTGAACCGCAATTAACCGGTTACATTGGTTCGATTTTAGTTTGGTTAAATTAAAAAACCGAAAAGTTCAGTTCAGTCCAAAAAATCACTCCACGGTTCCGTAAGCACCCCTAAGTATCACCAAGGAGGTCATGGGATTGAATTTGTACTGGTTAAACGTGAGTTATAATCGGCCATACAAAGAGATTCCATTCGGCGGGAAGGTGCAGGAGTTCAGTGCCGACTTTTTCTTCCATTACCACTATCTGTATGGTCAGCCACTCTCTAAGTGCTAGTAGCTTAATCGGCTCACCATGGATGACGAATGTAATGGACTTTCTCTATTGAGAGCAAACCCTTTTTTTATTTGACAAACAGGAAGAAACCCTTAACCCTAGTATAAATTTTAATATATTAAAAACGGAATAGCAGGAGTGGAGGACATTTGAAACATATGTTAATCCCACTTGCACATGCGAGATTCATGCATGAAAGGGTGTTGACATAGCACCCTCTGATTTGATATACAGGAAGATATGCAGGAACAAATGTACAGGAGATCCGGACTCAATTGAAATAACTGTATATCAAATAGCACCCTCTGATTTGATATACAGGAGATGTTACCAATACACGAAAGAGATATGATGTGGGACGTTGTGAGAACAATCTTGTGGGGGGCTGATTCGGTCTCGTGTGAGGAACGTTCTATTAGGGGCAAATCTCAATCCCAATTCTTTCCAATCTAGTGAAGTTTTTGTGACATTGATGATTGAAACCAAGATATGGTTAATTATTCATGTCTGTAACCAACTTTCTATATCATAACATATCATCTAAAGGAATCCCAAGATCTTTAACTGCAAAATCTTTTTTTTTTGTCCACTTCAAAAATTCTGGTAAAACAGAATCCAATCTACCGTTCTCTTTATTTGTTTGCCCTCAAAAAATTTTCTATTTATTTATTTCCAGAGTGTCCGTCTTTTCATCTATGTCAGAGGAGAGAGGGAGGCCAGGGGTAATGAAATCACATTGATGCCCCACAGGGGCCCTCTCACAATAAAGCTTACATTAGACCTCCTCCTTTTTCTCATACATGATGTATCCTTTTTAAACTGCAAATGGCTATGTGATTGCCTTTTTCAAATTCGATCCCGTTTTAAGGCTGATCTGAATTCATCCATTTATAATAATAATTGTATTAAATGTGATTCCACCCCTATTCAATTGATTATAATCTGATTTGATTTGATTTAGGTATATACCCAGACTTAAATTTTTATATTGTATCTATTAATAAATTTGGTTTAAAAGCTGTAGTTTTACTAAATAACATATCATAGGATAAAGTTTCATACGAGTAATTCTCAATTCATTTTTGTCATGAGATACAATATCCAAAGTAATTTTAGCTCATGACAAAAATGTACTTTAAACCTACAAATTTTGACACTGGATGTATCGGTCATTCTCCCTAATAAAAAACCCAACCAAATTATGGCCTAATGGCGGAAACCCAAAATTGTTGAGTTAGGCTGGGAGTAAGTATTGATAAATTTTCATTGGCCCCAAACCCCAACCGGAGCCCAATGTCGTTGAAATTATTTAAATTGGGCAACCCGATCGATTTGCATTATTGCATACACCTAAACCCAAACCAAACCAAATTACAAGGAAACTGGTATTATATGAAACTCAACAAAGAAATTAAATTAAAGGAGTTCATTTTGTAGTTACCATTTACAGAGGGCCGAGGGGCGTTCCTACTTCCTACCATCGTAGTATTTACATAAACTTACAAAGAAAAGCAAGCTTAAGGTGCTGGAGAAGGCGAGCAGCCAGTAATACTTGTCTAGTCGGGCTTCTCTCATGTCATCTGAGAACCAGCTATTCTCTCCTCTCGCACTTGTGATCTTCTCGATGACCGATATTAGAAGGGCACTAAGGAAGCTTCCCACTCCAAAAACACTGAAATACAGACCTACTCCCATTGTTCTCAACCTACTTGGCACTTGGGTGTAAAAGAACTCTTGCATCCCAACCACTGTGAAAACATCTGAAGTGCCCAAAAGAATGTACTGAGGTAGCAACCAGAAGATGCTTAATGGCACTACTGCAGTTCCAGCTGATTGAAGCCCCGATCTGCTAATCTGAAGCCTCTTTGCTTCGACAAGCGCCGCTATGACCATGGCTATGATTGAGAGGAACATCCCAATTCCCATCCTTTGCATCACGCTGACCCCTCCGTCATTCCGACTGATAATTCGAATCATGGGGATGATCATCTTGTCATATAGAGGCATCAGAAATATTATTGAGATGGTTATGGCACTCTGCAGTGTTGCTGGGGGGATTATGAAGTTCTTTCCGATTCTCCTCTTCATTGTCATCCCCTGTTTGGTGAAGAAGGTGGATGGCTGTTGGAATATGACAGCAAACATCAGGAGCATCGTCCATATAGGCAAGAGCCTCAGTAGAGCTTTTGCATCGTCAAAGGAATGGACCTGATCATCATTTGCAGGGTTTGTATCAAAGTTTCTGGGCCTGGGGCAACCAAAATCTGGCGGATTGCACAGTGGTTTCTCTTGTAGCCTAGAATAAGCAAGAAAAATTAATATAATGTTGCTTTAATTAGCTTCCTCCAATAACTCCATGATCAAATGTGTGGAACCGAACCTTGTTCCAAGAATGAATGAAAGAAATTAATTGAAGGGAAACTTACTCGAGCTCGGTGGCTTTGGATTCTTTCCTCCTTAAAGTGATCCTACCATTCATCACTATCTTTGATGCAGTTGCTTTGATAGATTGAATGATGCATATTATGGTTCTTTCTCCATCATTCGGCTGCTTATGAATGAAGAATCGGGTTCCACTACACGAGAAACAGACAACAGATGATGCCATTGCGATTGTGGGGATGGCGAATCCCAATCCCCAACCCAATGTGTCCTGAATGTAGGACATAAGAGAAACACCCAAGAGACTCCCAGTACAAATGCCAAAGTACCACCACTGAAAAAACAGACTCTTCCTGCTAGAATTCTGGCCATTAATGTTGCTGCAAGGCAATTCATCATCGTTTCCGTGTTGATCTGCTGCGAAGGCTTGTAGGCATGGGTTATATCCACCTTGGCCAAGTGAAATCAAATAGAGAGAGAGAAAGAGGGATACGGAAGAGCTTGTTTTGCTCCATGACGATGACACCAGTGCTGTGAACGTCAATGCCACGAGCCCCTTGAGATAGATAGAGAAAATTAGGGAGAAAAACCATCAGCTATATATTAAGAGTTATGCTCCATTCTTATATTTGAATCTGTAAGTTAAACATCAATGCTATATATAAACAACATTTTCACAACCGTTTCTCAGAGGCAGAATATAAGTAATTAACACTGCAGCAAAAACAAAGATATATAAGAAACAACTCACCACAACATAGAAGAAAGAAGCAGCCAAGAGGGTGGAATAACGATCCCAATATGAGTCGGCAAGAAATGCGCCCAAGAGAGGCAGCATGGATGTAACTCCACACCAGCTGTTAATGGCCTTGGCCGCCGAAGAGTTGCTCAACTTCACTACATCGGTTAAATAGGTTACCAGGTTTGACGCCACCCCCTTGAAGGCAAACCTCTCCACCCCGGCCACCACTACACAGAATCAACAAATGAAACTTCTCTTGTTATAAGTTCATAGTTCATATATATATATATATATATATATATCGATCATTTCTCCTCTTGAGCTCTCAGTTCCTCATTGTTCAATTACCCATATGATGAGTATATGATCCCGGCCATGTTGTCATTTGAATGATCTATGAGTAGTTGAAACAAACACAGCAGAGAATATATGTATAAAGTTCTTACCTATGAGAAGAATACAGGATTTGCTGAGTTTTTTGTATCCCATACCTCCGGCCATGTGCTCAGCAATAAACAAAAGCCTTGGGGGACGAACTACCAAGAGATGAGTCTCCAATATGAAAGCCTAGACATTATTTTCTGCAAGTCTCGATCGGTCTCTCAGATACGATATATCGAACACTTCCTCATGGGAACTTGTGTGCTTTTGCTTGTTGCTTTTAACTTTCACATTAATTATGTATTTTAAACACATCACAAGATTCTTCGCACGTTAAAGCACAAAGAGCGCACAACAGATACATTTGGCAATCACTATCTCACCTTCCTGTCAGTTGGTTGTGTCGTCATCGTGAACACATTGCATGAAATTCACAGTCAACATGTGGCCTTCTGTATGCGTGGCTCCACTAGCCGTTGCCACGGTGGCGCAAATTGCCCGAAGAAAAGGTTTTGGTTTTGAAATTACCATCTGTGGCAGGCACTAGCAGAGTTCCACAAAAGATGGGGCAAAAAGAACACTGCAAAGAAAGTGAAGAAGACTAATAGAGACAAACGGGGCCCAAAAGTAGTCCTGAACAGGGCCATCTCATTCTCTCCGTCAGTTCTGTCGTTAATATGATGATATATTATGCTTTTCTTAATTTTCCCTCCAAACTTTTTATCAATAACAGGGGAAAAAGGAAAAGGATTTTTGAGTGAATGAAGACGGGTTCATTTACTTAAAACGCCCCTATAATTTCATGGATTTTCCCTTTATTAAAACGCCCCTATTTGGTTCTTTTTAATCAATTTTATTTTTTATACAAATATTTAAATAAATTCATGAATAAAACTATTGAGAATGTTCTAGTAAATGAACCAATGAACATTGATTAATCCTTTCACGATTCGCAATGTAACGTCCGGTACTGATGAGCGTATAGAAACGGATCGAACAGAAAATAGATATGCCCGGTACATGCACCACGTTTAATTTGGTGGTTTGCTGAGATGGATTTCACTTGATTTTGTTTTGTTTTTTATTTTTGGTGTTTCCAACAACATGTTTGATTTGATAAAGGTTTTAAAACGGACACTAGTGCGTTTTCATCCATCATTTGCAATTTTCTTTCATTTTTTAAGTAACCGCTGCGCTACTTGTCTATTAATATTCTAGTGATCACTGGCCAACCAATTTATCTAATTCCCGGCTTTATTGGAGTTCACATCTCCGCCCCACAGCACATCCCCGCCGTGCATTGAAAACATCATCGGGACTGGTACGGAGGGGATGTGCTGTTGTGAGGCGGAGATGTTAACTCGCTATCTTGGGAAACGGGCTGACTTACCATAAGTGGGGATCTACACAGCTTAATGCGCCTGTTCAAAAATGGGATTTGTACCATAACAAACAAACATCACTGCCCAAAACTTTAATGAAAGGCGGGATTTATTTAATGAAAGTTGGGATAATGACTTCGAAGTTCGAAGTTCAATCACCTTACTTCAAGTTTATCTTATGAATAAAGATAAAAATAAATAAAAAAATAAAGATAACACACTCAACACCAACTTTTGTCATCATTAATTACTCATCAAACCAACTTTTAACACAAGTTTCAGTACAGATCAATGTTTTTTAAAAAGGATCTGGAATCGGAAAGCATTCTGGCCACTGGTTTTTAGGTTGATGGTTCCATTGTTTGGTCTGAATAAATAGTCAATTTTGATATATCAGAAAAATAATTTTAAGAGACATATCAGGATACGTATTGGAGATACGTATGGATCCAAATGAAAAATCAAGATATGCATAAATATGTTAAAAATTCAAATAAATCATAAAAAAAAATATATTATTAACAATACTTACAAGTTTTATATGATTGTAAATAAGTCATTTAAATGTAAAAAAATAACATAATTTAATTTTTATATAAAATGTGATATGTCGAGATATAATTAGCAGCCATTGAAAAATGATGGAATAGCTAAAATGTGAAAAAAAAAACTAAAATATGAATGTATATACATCAATTTTCAAATAACCAATATAATTTTCTTAATATTTATTAACATATAAATTTTAATAATTAATTTCAGCATTTATTAATAAGCAGCACTAAGAAAAGAAAATATTGACTTAAAACTAAAAATGCATATAATTACAACAAACAAATCGGAGTGGTTTAGTGGCAAAATTATTTGCATTTAAATTTGGTGACTAGGGTTTAAGTCTTGCTATTGTTAATATTTGCAGTTTTTACACTAATAAAACGAAATTAATGATGAGAGAGAGAGAGAGAAAGAGTCATTAATTAATAGAATTAATGAAAGAATTGTAATTAGGCGCTAAAATTCAAATTTAAATTTAAGTATGTCTTAAATATAGGAGTAATTAACTAATTAATGAAGAAGTTAGACTTAAATAGAGAAGTAATAAACGACATTAATGAGAGAAATTCGATATTAAATATAGATTAATGGAACAAGGGGAACCGAAACGATTAAACGGAACACATGATTTTTACATGTTCCGTGTATCAGTTTCTTATCGAAACGGTACATATCAGCTGATGTGCTGCGATATTTTAAACCTTGATTAAAGTTTAAAAACGGCCAAAAACTGTTAAATGGGTTGACAGTTCAACCACTTATGTCAATGGGTCATTGCCTGATTCAACAGTTTTTGGCCAGGGACCAGGTTTGGGGTACAATGGAACCGGATGCTTGAATGGTTCTCAGGCCGAACAGTCCGACCATCTGCGCCAACGGCAGTTCAAAAACCATGGCACAAATAATAATATTAATTGATGGATGGAAAGGAACATGAAAGGCCATTACCCCACCCAACGTTCCTCAGTTACCTGGGATCTTAGTCATTCAGACAAATTGGGTTGGGTTGAAGGTCAATTTAGGATATATTTAGACCTGGTCCAATCCAAGGTTAAGTCTGGATTTGTCAATCCAAGCCCAAATCAAGCTTAACCCAATACATCTCTCTAATAAGGTTTGAGCTTGAACAGGTTGGTTAAGTTCAAAAAAATTATAAATATATTTTTGTATAGTCATCTATTGTTAAGCTTTATAGTTCAGTTTAGGAATTGAATTGATTAAAAATATGCACAAAGTCTAACCCACAGCCAAAAAACTCAGCCCCGGCCCATGCAAAAATTAGGACTGGATGAGGTTAGGCCCGCCCAAATTGCAGCCCTAACCAGGACAAAACACGATTTGATTTGAGTTGAATCAATTTAATGCAACAGTGTAAAAAAAGGTGCAACCACATTTGGGTGAATAAGTATACATTTCTACGAGACATATCCCAACATGTTGAGAGAGATTGAGACTCAAGGTTAATCGTATAGCAGTAAAATAGGACAACTTGTTTTACCCTTTTTCTCTGGTTCAGTTTGGAAAGAACGCAAATGCAAATATGTAAAATGTAAAACTTATATTTTATATGTATTTATACTGTACACATTTATATTTATTCCAAACTGAGATGAAATACTAAGTATTTGTTCGAAATCATTAGAGCATCTTCTAAAAATTTTCCATAATAAAACCTAGAGATCAAATTGCCAAGCTTTATAACCATTTGTCATGCTGTTTTGGGGCCCTAAGAATCCAAACTTTAACCAATTATATCTATCTATATAGATAATAAGGAAAATTTTAATACCCTCTCCAATCATTCAAGGGTGTCCAACAGTCCAGTTAGGTTTGGGCCAGATACATTCATACTCAATCCAGAGATGTGCATAAATCCCAGATACATTCATACTCAACCCATTGGCATGCACCCTCTGTAGACTCTAGTCTAGTTAAAAATAAATTACAAGACCTAAAAACTGCAGGCTTTCGCGATATATATGTTAGGTGCGTCATGAGCCATGACAAAGGAATCTCACAGTACATTATCTTCCACTGTCAAAAAAGAATTCATCTACATGAAACGACACTATAGTGGTGGCTATTTGGGTGATGATGAAATAAAAAATTAATTTAAATATGACAGTGATCGTCATGGGTCCAATTTCAATACATGAATAGAGGTGGCAATTTTTGACCCAACTCAATCTATCCACTTGTTATCCATCCAATTTCTTCCATTTAAAATGTGGATTGAATATAGATTTAGTCACCTATTAGGTCAAGTAAAAAGGGTTGGGTCATATGAAATTCTCTCCCCTTTAATCAATAGGAATTCACGGAAAAAGGAAAACAAAAAAGAGAATAACTAAGAGAAGAGAAAAAGGACAGATTTAAGAGAAATAGTGGGGATAGGAGAGAGAAACATAAACAGGGAAGTAATTAAGGCTGCATTTGGAAACGATGCAAATATGTAGAGTGTAAAACGGTTCATATAAATTGTAAAATTGGGTTAGTTTTGAACTGACAAACTTACCTTCTTACAAAATAAAYTTTTAGCTATAATGGATGCAAACATGAATTCCAATAAAGCATATGCCTTTTTTTAATCAAAAGCCCACTTGAATGGAAATTTACTTTTTTATTAAGGCTGCATTTGGAAACGATACAAAATGGAGTGTAAATCCTAGTTCATGGTAAATTTGCACTCTGGTTCACTTTTGCCTGTTTGACAATATTTACATTTATGCATTGACAAAATGACAGATCAATGCATATTTACATTGATAATAAGATGTAAAAGCATATCAATAAAAAAGAAGCATTTGTGACTATTCGACTCAGGATTTGAATCGTCATTGACCCAGACAGTTGGACCATTCGACTCAGGATTTGTCTATGCGACTGGTTCTATTTTACTCCAAACCTGCTTTTGATAAAAAAATCGTTGAAAAAGTCAATAATCCGTTTACTCGGGTGGCCAAACCATCAACCCATTGATCTGTTTAATAGTTTTGACCATTTTTTATTTTTAATTATTTTTAATTTGTTTGTCAATAGGTCGTTCATTCGAACCGAATTATCGGACCATCAACCCGGAGACCAATGACCAGAACAGTTCCATTTCTAGGTCATTTTTTAAAATATTGGTTTTAATGTATAGTAACGGTCCGTGAATTGTGGAGTTCTATGGTTTGAGGTGTTACTGGTTCACATTATTTGTCCACCATCTTATCCTTTCAATCAATCATTTAAGTTAATACTTCTGGTAAAGGTTTTATTTATCAAAATTCATGGGTACCGTAGATTTTCCCATTAAAGAGATGTTCTTAAAAGCTGGCAGTTCAGATAGAAACTAGAAAGTGCATCATCTTGACTCTTATTCCTGGAGCTACATGTAGTGCCCATCTTGTAGTTGAGTATTGTTTTATTGGGCAGGCAATATTTAGGCCCTCTTTGGGAGTGCTTTTAAGTTAAAAATAAGTCTTTATTAATTAAGTGCTTAAAAGCAATTCATTTGACACCCAATTTTTTTAAGTGTTTATTTTAGTTTTTTTTTTCTAATAAGCACTTAAAATAAGTATTTGTGACTATTTTGTTCTTTATTTTCTTTCAAATTTTTAAAATATACCATTTGGAAGTACTTTAATTAAATTACTTTTATAAAAACACTTTTATGAAAGCACTTTTATAAAAATACTTTTATGGAAGTACTTTATAAAAACACTTTTATGAAAGCACTTTTATAAAAATATTTTTATGAAGGCACTTTTATAAAAGTACATTTAGGAAGCACCCTTACGAAAACACTTTTAAAGAAAGCACCTTTATGAAAGTGCTTTCGTAAAAGTATTTTTATAAAAGTGCTTTCATAAAAATACTTTTGCAAAAGTGTTTTTGTAAAGTGCTTTCGTAAAAATGCATTCATAAAAGTACTTTTATAAAATTCAACTAAGGGTAATTTTGTAAATGAAATTTTAAAATTCAACTAGGATAACTTTGGAAGAAGAAATTGAATAAGTGCCTTATTGTATAAGCACTTAACAAAGAGTTGGAAATTTGGGCTTAAAAAATAATCACTTATTTCTGGCTTATTTCCTAAATAAGCACTTATTTTTAAGCACTCTCAAACATGGCTTTAGATTAATTGCCAAAGAGAAAATAATTGCAGCCTTCAATCTTTCTTTCAGTATATCGATATACATTAACCCAACATTTTAAAAACTGCCCCAGAGGCTGAACCATTTTTGCCTCTGTGTCATGGGTCACCGGTTTGACCGACCGGGTCAAGTGGTTCAAACCGTGCCACATCCTCACATACACACATATGTATGTGTGTATAAATATATATTTTAGCAATAAATAATGTATGAATATGTTTTGGATATGTTATATGTATTATTTTATATTTAATTTGTTTTTTAATTTTCATTTATAAAAAATATTAAAAATTGCAATTTGAGGCCAAAAAATTGCCCTGCTATTTTTTTTTTTTTTTTTTTTACGAAAATAGCGGGGCAAGGCGCATACGGAACTTTGGGACGCATAGGTTTCGAAAAGTTATCCAAAATAAAAAGAAAAAAATTACTCCAATCAGACAGCGAAATGCAAAATTATGGCCTCTGAAAGTTTACATGTATTGAATGTATAACTTGCGACCTGATCACCAGGTCAAACAGGTCAACGATTGAGCTAGCCGGGTTGAATGGTTCTTGACCATGTGTACTGTTTTTTTACCTATCAGACAAGTCTTAGTTGAACCGGATCTGGAATCCTAACCTGATGACGTTCGAACGGTTCGAGGGACCAGGTCAACGGCAAATTGAAAACATTGCCTTAACCAATTGCTTCAGAAAGCGATTTGGGCTCACTTCGGGCCTGGACCTGAGCCCAAAACTACATTGGGTCAGGCATGCTGTGATGGATTGGGGCCTTGGGGAGGTAATCGTTTTGTTGAAGCAAGTGAAGTTGGATGCTTGGTTGGGCAAACCCAAATCCAATCATGAAATCCGATGTGCGTTAACCAATAGCCATGCTGGCTTGAGCCAAGTATTTCGTACACGTGATCAATAACTTGGAATTGGAAATTGGAATACCATACATAAGTCAAAGTCATAAGCGTGGTGAATCGGATTTGGTGATCTCTAATTAATTAATTAATAACTATCAGGGTTGTTCCTTGTTGGACTGGAAAGAAATAAAAGTAAGATTGGTCCGGTCCATACGATTTCATTTTCGTCACGACAACTTCTCTATTTAATAAGATTAACAACACGGCATTACTATAAAGTATAAACACCTGGCGTCAGTTTCCATAATTAAATCCTATTCCCTGGTCGCTTGCACCAAATGCTTCAACTTGGGGCTCAATGGCTGCTGCTCGTGTTGTTAATTCGCAATTGACTCGCTCCGATTCTTTGATCTTTGATGGCCCCAGGCAACTGTACAAATTAAGCTAAATGTATTTCTATTTGTTTAATTGTTCTTAACTGATAAAATATTGAAACAACACAGATGGATATTGGGCTAGATTACATACTTCGTGGGCATTACTTGAAAAATGAGAAAATTTTGTGAATAGTTGGCAGATGAAATTAAAATCACAAATATTTTAGTATAGTGCTATAGATTATTAATTAATTTAGATGGTTAATCCTTTCGTATTTTAAGGTTAGATCTATATCAGTCCAGATAGTTGGGACCAATAGCCTTCATGTGTTTTCCTTTGTTTTGTTGGGTAGAGGAGATGGAGAATTCACGATGAAACTCACTTTAGTAGCAGAAAGAAATCCAAGCCCTCTCAACGTGAGAGCATTATTTGTCGAAGAAGCCCATCTTGAAGGGGTCCTAGATTTAAAGTATCGATATAATCCGATGTGAAGAATGGGGCATATCAGACTTTTTTTAGTTTTTTCAAACATGTTCAAAAGCAGGGGCAGAGCTAGGAATTTTTTATCAAGTTAGGGGGTAAAACTTATGAATGGGCCATAAGGAACCAACCATTGAATGAAAAATGGGAAGAGGAAAAAAACTTACATGAAAATATTCATTACCTGTGGGGATTTCTGGACCATAGGAGGGAGCCCTGGCTCCGCCCCTATCTAATGGGGCGGTATAAGGCCTGTCTACCCCTGAAACTGATAATACCCCAAAACTCCTCATATTTCACATATCGATGACCGAGTTCGGATTAGATCCCTTATTGGCACTAGATCCAATCTCTCGGTGACCCACCAATACGATACGTAGTTGCTAAATTTTGATCCTTAATAGCAGGCAATCCTCTCAAGTAGTTTAATTGACCATGGGCCCAAAACAAACATGGAGCCGGAGATGGAGCTTCCTACTTCCACATTTCTAGGTATAATTAGTCATGTAATTATACTAGAAATGGAGATGGAGGTGCAATCAAGCAATCCACCTTTTGGCATTTGTTGAACTATCCTAAATTCCTAATTCCTAAGAGGACACAGGCAACTGAGCTTGTAATTGTAAACCCAATAAAATTTTAAGATCGGAAATTTCCATGTGGGGTGGGGTACAAGGCCAAAGGCCCACTCCTGCCCCAACTTCACATCGTGGGCACTTCTCTGTTTGAAGAAACCTATTCGGCTAACCCATCCCGTTTAGGTCGGATTGGTTCATTTTCATCCGGCCCAAGTTGTAAAAGTAGTGGGCCCATAAAAAGCATTTGAGCATTGGGCTCTCTTACTCATTGAGGTATGACTGTATGACAGTATGAGGGAGAGAGTAGAGAGCCCGCCAGGCCGCCAAGGCAGGGACCGGGCAGGGTGACTCACTGACTCCCATCCTCACGTCTCCCTGTAGTTGTACAGCTGACTCAGAGAACTCGGCCAAAACGCTCCACCTGGTTTAAAATATTGCAGAAAAATCTTTCTTCCTCCACGCATTACTCCCTTCTTTTTCTCTTACTTCTCTCTTCGGTCTTCCTTTGATTCCATTACCGAATAAACCGTTTTTATTTCTTACTTTATTTTTCATCGGAACTCGGAAGCCCGTCTGTTTTCAGCTCTGTACTTCGATTTAATTACTTTCCTTTTCTTTGCCTCTTCTTCGGACGCCAATCTCTGTGAGTAAACCTTCCAAAATCGTTCCTTTTGTTTCAATCCTACCTGAAGGCTTGGTCGCTTAACTGCAGAGATTGGTTGGTTGCAGGTAATTTTGTTTCTATTTTTTTTTTTTTGGTTTCTGATGTCTGTGCTTTATGAGAATCGTCCAAATTCTTTTTTTTTATGGGGGGTTTTCTCTCTCCATTTTTATTGCTCTTTTATTTATTTTTCTTTTTTTTTGATGATTCTACGCTGATTTCTTAATTGAATATGCTTCGAATTGGGGGGCACTGGAATTGTTGTTTAGCTGCTGAAATTAGCTGCTTTCTTTCTATCTTTGTACCTTCCAGTTACCGGGAGTTTCGCACTAGTAATCTGCCCGTGGTTAAATGCTTGAAGCGATAAAAATATGAAATCTTGTCTTCTAAATAAATTCATGGCTCTTTACTTCATTTTCTTTCATCCTTGTTGTTTAAATAGTAGAATTTTGCAACTAGGGAGTCATACTTTAGTAAATGGATGACTCAATAATGAAACTTAATCGCTCTTTTACTATTTTGTGGTCCGTGATTGATGAACTATCGCCTTGCATGTTCCTATATTTGTGTTCGTTTTTGGGTCTGAAATTGGTTAAATTGATGATTGTGTACCGAGGTTCTGGTTCCATGTGGAGCTTCTGTAATACAAACCTCTGAATCAGATGCACTTAAACGGTTAGTGGGGAAAAAATTATTTAGAAGTGTAATTATGAACATTGTATGGTCACTTGATCAGAACTAATAAACTTAGTGTAGCGGCTGGGTTTACTCAACTTTATAGAGCACTTTGCATAAAGTGGAAATTGTTTTCCTTACCCTGATACTAATCCTTTTTTTTATTTTTATTTTCTCTTATCAATAACGAATTTAGTTTCTATGAAGTTAATTGCTGCAAATTTATCTTAAGGCATGAAAAAATATTGAAATGCATAGATGAATAGATCAATACCACTTCGGGCATTGCTCTAGAAAAATGCCTAGCTACTGCCCCTCTGCAACTTGTTTGCTAAAGTAGCCAAAGCTGTATAAATACAATGATGCTGTTTTACTCATAAAAAGAAAAAAAGAAAATAAAATGATGCTGTTATAAATTGCGCTGACTAATACAATAGTAATGCTGGTTGTGAAGGATTACAAGGTGGTCTTTTGGATATGAAAGTAAAGTTTATGCCTGACATCAATCATTTTAAGTTTACCAATCAAAAGGAAAAAAAAAAGAAAAATCCATCATTTCAAAGTTTAATCCTTCATTTCAAGTTGTTGAAGAGAGATGGATAGTCTGATCCTCTGTATCAGCTGAAATGGTTTTGACCTATGAAAGCATGGTAAACTGATCAATTTTTCGTTAAATGATCATATTGTCGGATATTATAGATGCCTTTTGCACAATACATATTGGTTACCAAACTCTGGGCAAGTTAACTTTAAACTGTACTAGAATCCTTCAATGCAAATTTGAAAAATAAACTAACCAGGTCACTTAAAGTATTCACCATGTATTTTCTATATCACATTCTTATGTTTCATATGGTTATCTCTTTTTCTTTAGAAACCTTTTTTGTAGTTTTATTCATTCTTGCCGCATATCTATTGAAATTTTTGTATTACTTGTGCAGGTTAGAAGACAAACTTAGCAAGTTTGTGGTGGCACCTGTAATTAAAGATTTGATCGAGTTCTGGAAATCAGCATTTAAGAAGGATTGCCTTTATAAATCATGGAAAGGTAATGCTGTCAATTTTGAATATCATATGACACCTTGTAAAACAATTTTCTGTATAGCAGTGATGATAACTGCATTGCTTCGGCGTCAGCAATATAAAAATCACTTATATTAAATTTTTGTAATGAAAAGAGAATTTATTATTTGTTCTGATGGACATAACTATCTTGGCACAAGTCAGTCAAACAAATATTTCAGGAACTTCTCATAGTGCACACAAACATGTGTATATTTCATTATGAATCTTATTCATCTGTAGTAGATATTCAATTCAAGCTGGGTGTTCACCAATCACCATTAGCTTTTTCTCAGCAACATCTTCCTTCTAAGTTCTAACTTGCCTGTCACCCAAAATTCTATATCATTTCAAGTTAGCCAATATAATGTACAAGGATGGAAACTGTTGGGACACAAACTAAAGAAATACAAGTGTACAAGAAAAGGCCATGACAGCCTTTAAAGATTGTAACTAACAGCCAACCACTAGATCAAAGATTGTAACAAACTAGACAAGTGGACTGACAAGTGGAGAGGCTGGTACAACAGAACTGTAACAGCTGTATAACAGCAGTGTATAAATAACAATAGGCTATAATCGAATGGGATTATTGAATTGGGAGT